CTCCGCGCTCCCGAAAACAAACTTTGCGTAAATCAGGAGAGAAGAGAGACACGGCCGAGTGCTTCGAGCCGGCTGATGGATCCGCGGGCTCGAAAATCACCGGAGCAACCGCGGCGGACAGCTCTTTCTTGACAAACGTTTTGTCCGCGCGGTCGTAAATAGACTGCGGATGCTTGCGCGTGTATACGAAATGCCGCTAAACGAAGACCGGCGGCTACCATATTTTTCTTTGACAAATGTTTGGCCGCGCGGGCCTGCGGTTCCTCTTGCCTTGTCCTTAAAGAGGTAAATTTGAGCTACGTTGTCTGCCGGTTAGGTGTAATGCAACGCGCAACACGGTTCAACTTACGTTTAGACTGCGGTTTTATGTACACTTTCCGACCGGGCTTCGAGAGAAACCCGACCGACGTGCAGACGCATTAACAGTGGATATGGTAAAAACTTTAATAGTAGTTTACTGAAAGGACAAGCTTCTAGTTCAGACTACGACGATCTACAAACGCAGATCGAAGAATACTTCGTCAGGAGGATACTTGGAAACGTAATTAGAAGACTTTTAATCCAGTCCTTACATGTTGCCACAAGTGTTACAATAATATCCATTCGGCATTAAATTTGTTTGAAGAGCAATTTTCATTTGTATGTACATATTCTCAAATATTATATAAAAATCGAAAACAAAGAATAATGTTAATAAATCTCATTTTTTATCACATTTTTTAATTTTATACAAGAAGGGCCTGAGGATACTATAATCAACAATTGTCGTCATTCTAATGAAATGAAGAGGAGAAAAATTGAAATTATGAATATTCTGAAGACTATTAAAACAACTTTATTAGGTATAAGAAATTTTTGTCTTCATAATGTTTCGAGACACTTCTCGATATTTACTTTTATCTCTCAGGCCCTTCTTGCATCCAAAGGTTCGTTTAAACTATGGCTAAAACATTTCCTTAAACGCGCAAAAACGTCTTTGAAGATCGATAGTAGCTAAGTAAAAGTGGGTGGCAAAGGGAAGGAGTCGAAGGGCCGCTGTTGAAACGGCGAGCGGGATCTCGGTCAAGGAATGGCAGAGGACAGACAAAATGTTTACTGCAATTTCGGTAGTTACTGCTGCGTCGGACGAGCGGGCTTGGCGGAATCGCGGGGGTTGGAGGGGTGGAGGAGAATTCAATTAAGGACGCCCGATGCGTTTAACGCCCCGTAAAGCCAGACGAGGGGGCGCAAAAACCGACGGCCGGGTCTCTCCTTTCGAAAGTCGCGGGATTTGCATGTGCACGAGAAGAAGAGGAGAGGAGAGGAGAAAAGGAGAGGCGAGGAGAGAAGAGGAGAAGAAGCACGTTCGTGCGCGAATGTGCGGAGGCGGTTGCGGGCGAGGGTGTGGGCGTGGGTGTCTCGTGGCGGTGTAACCAGCCGGGGCCGGCTCGGTCTGGGCGCCTCCCGCGCAAAATAATTATTTTAGATTAAACTCTCGCTCGCTGCGAGACACTGCTCGATATTAAAGTGATTTAATATAACACGGCCCGGCTCGAAATTAGAAATTATAAACGGGGCTGCAAATAACGGGTGTGTTACGAGGAAACTGCGATTAAAGCGATTTCCTGTGAAATCACCTTCCGCCCACCCTGCTCCGCGGCACGTCGGTGCGCCGCACCGCCCCGGGACCGGGGCTGCTCTTTGTAGGGCGTCGTTACGCCGATATAAATTATTCTCATCTCGCCGGGATCGCTGTATCGTTATTTTCGCGCGGAAGGCCCGCGCCGTTTTTAGAGATCCGGTCGGCCCGTTCCCACGAACGTCTCGCTTGTTTAATCGGAACGAAACGGAAGATAAATTTCGCCGGCCGGAAAGATTCTCCAATTACGCGTAATGATGTAAAATCGTCGGGCGATAATGGGTCCCAGGGTTCACGGGACGACCCGGGGACACGTGTTCTCTATTAATAGGCCCGCGCCGTTTTTACCACGAGCAAGCCGAAAAAGCGACGGCGTCGTCGGACCTACGGCGCCTGTCACTAGTAAATACGGGTTTTTAAGCGACAGACTAAAGACAATAACAGAAACGGGGCTGTCCCGCGTCGCGACTTACACGCTCGCAGCTTGTTCCAACTTTTTTCTCCCGCTCTCCTATGATTAGTCTCCGCGGCCCGACCCGCTTTTAACATCAATCACGGCGCGATCCCACTCTCTTGGGCTCGCTACCAGTTTTTGCCCTGTTTTCGGCCCACCTCGATTTGCACCATGATGGGCCTTGGACTAATCCTTCCTAGCGATCTTTCGCATAAATGGATCTTCATGCGTTCGGGGTGGGAGGAATGGCGGTGCACAAGAGATCCCCAAAATTGAACATATTTTCGCTGAGCCGTCTAGCTCAATATCGCCGGGACAAGATAGAAGGAGAACGGTTGCGGTGTAATTGATCAATTAAGAGTTCGATCATCTTCGAAAGCTCGGACTAATATTTGAAATCTTTTGTCGGATAAAATAAAGCCTGCGTCACGAGCACTTTGAAGCGTTTCAGGAGAATTTTATCTGTTAATTTGTATTGGTTTCTTATCGTTAAACGCTGGCCTCTTTCGTCTTTGTTTTAATTTTAATTTTAAAACTCTTTATTAAACTTAACGATAGGTATATATAGATATATATACGTAGATTAATATTCTGTGCCTCATCCTTCTCTGGACAGTGTCTATTGTACAAAAAACATTATACTATCTTTTTTATTTTGCTATTTCTTGGTATGACAAAAAGACAATAAAAAAACTCTTGTTTTTCAACTTTATTATCTGAGCTTATAACGAAAATTTAAAAAATGCGTTTGGTAGATCCTGGTGAAACATACGCGTACTGAAAATATACGTATATATATATATATATATAACTTTCGAATAAGTTTGCGGCCCGGCGACAATATATATATATATTGATATATTACATAAGATATGATTTATGGTTACTTCTAACATCATCTTCTGGGATTACCAAGTAATACGATTTCCAGACAGCGAGCTAAACAAGAGCTTCAGTTTTCCAATTCCGCGTCGTAAGCCCCGTGACTTTTGTCGCACGAAGATTGTTGGGTGGTCGGGAGAAGCTTGACAACGGGTGGAACAACCGAAGACCCGGGGATTAATCGCTGGCCGCGATTTATCGCAGCGTAACGAGGCGAAATGAAGCCTTTCAGTGTCACGGAATCCGCGGGGAGTTTCAAAGGTTTTGTCGCCGGGCCGCAAACTTATTCGAAAGTTTGGGCACGCGAGGCCTCGCGGGCCACCCTCGCGCCGGTAACTTTAATTGGAATTCTTTGCGGCCCTCTGCCCACGCCCCTCCCGGCCGTAGATCACATCGAACCGAGGGAAATAGTTATAGAATCGCCGTATCTCGGTGGTCTCGGATTGCGGTTAATAGTTCCACCCCTCAACCAACCGCGTTCGCCCCGCAGTTGTGCCACTAGCGTCTCGAAGATCGGGCCAAGATTCCGCGCGACGCTTTGTTAGGCAACCGTCTCCCGGCCATAGAAGAAGCAACGCGAAGATTAACGGAGACGCGGGATCGTTTTTGTCCGGGCAGCTCCCGATTCAATTCGCTGGCGCCGGATAAGGGGAGCGCCCGGAATTTATCCCGCTGTAAAATCCTTCGTCCTCCCGATATGAATCGGCCGGCCGCGCGGTGGTGGAACCGCGTTACGCTCTTTCATACGGTGCCGTTCTTCTGTGCCACCTGTTCCGGCCATGGACCAGCCATTTTTATTCTACTCGCAGCCGTCTCGATTTCACGCTGCGATTCCGTTTCATTAACTCGGCCGCTTTCGCGCATTCGAACAATTTGTCAGACGAGAAATATGCTCGCTGATTCCACAAACGTCCGATTTTGACGTTGCGTACCGTTTCGAAGTTGAATTTAACGTTGCACCGATCACCGCTGGCTTCGTGCCTCTTTAACTCTTGACCGGACTGCCGAATATTGCCGGTTATTGCTTCGGCAAATATTGCATATTGACAAATTAGTAGGTGCAAGTAAATTTACGTTGAAACGTTGCAAATTTGATCAGTTAATAGAGAATATTACACGAATTTTTAAAATAATCGCATTAACGTATTCTACTGATGACTTGTTTAATCTTGCGTCCGACCGCCCGCGGCCACCATTATCCGGTCAAAGGTTGAACATGCTTAAACGTATACAATGTTGCAAGCAAATGTACCGTTGTACAGTAAATTCTGCCGAATTTTCCTTCAATTTGTAAACAAAAATGGGCAATTTGTAAAGAGGAGATACGATTATTTGAGCCTTGCACCTCGTTTTTATAATTGTTCACAATGGGGCTTTATAAGAATGAGCAGCGAGGCTCGAATAATTGTATCTCCTCCTCCCAAATTGTTCATTTTTGTTCACAAGCTGAAGGAAAATTGGGGAGAACTTACTGTATTCCGTTTATTTCTGCATAAAATGTAAACGAATGCATGATGTGCACAAACAGTGAATTATGGCCGTAAACAAACCGAAGGTACAACAACTGGCCACTCGTCAGTAACCGGCTCCGCTATCTTATACAGTTGTGCCGAATTGTTCGAGCAGGAAAATTCGTAAAAACGACTCTCGAGCTCGAGACTTTTCAATCCTCCACTGATTATTGTAACGCAAACTCGATGAGCAACTATTCGTTACGAGAAATCCCGGGAATATTACATGCTCGACAAAGGCTTACTAGTTCCTTCGAAGGGGGCTCCTGGCAGCAAGTTGCAATCCGGTGTAATCCGCCGAGAGATCGAACCGTAGATTAGACAGTAATCGCGACCGAAGTTCGATCGGGAATTAACAAACGCGCGATCGAATATTCAAGCAAAGCCGATACGGCGTGGACTAATTAAGCGGGGAAAGTTCGGCACGCGGTGAACGAGGGTGAAAGTTTCCTCTTTCGACCCTCGGCAGCAGCGGCCATATAACGGCACCATCTGTTTTCGAAAAATCGTCGAAATAATGGCGGATCGAACTCACCGGAATGGCGACGCAATCTTCGATCTCGGTGAGGGGTTCCTCCGAGCAAAAGGTGCCGTCGGTGAGGAAGGGTGGCCGGGGTGGTGGCGGCAACCGGAACTCGGGGGGTGGCCCGGGGCACTCAGGGCACTCCGTGCTCTCCAACGTCTCCAGCTCCTCCATCCTCCACCTCAGCGTGCTGAAAACCACACGGAAAATCAACGCTCGATTAATCTTATTGACAGAACTATTAATCGGCGCGGAGAAGAAGCTTTATCTGCCTCTCGGCCGCCGCCGCCGCTGCCGCCGCGCCGACCCCGTAATTTATTCCCCCCACGGTTTACGCTCGCACGCGAGCCGCCCCTGATTCGCGGCATTCATTTTTTTTTCACCCTGCCGATCGACGCGCTGAATATATTCGCCAACGCCTCCTCTCGAACGAGGACCGTGGGGAAAGTCGGAGAAATCTGCCAATTCTTCTCGATATTCACCGGGTAGGCTTAGCTCTATACGCTCCCGGAAATTGCAGTATAAAGGACATGGTAATGCGGGATGATACTTCAGTTTTATCTTTCTCTTCACGTTTTGGGTTGGCGAATTTTATTTCATTTATAATTCTGCGCCCTTCGTCGGACTATTTAAGGGGTTGTGTCTCTTTCGGCGATCGGAAAATAAAGGCTTTTTGGGAATTTGTTTCTTTCTTTTAAAAGAATACTTAGAAAGCAACAAATATGGGCTTTGGAAGATTTATTATATACAGGGTATCTGATTTTAACGAATTAATAAAAATAACTCGTTAATTACACACTGCATAAGAAATGTTATCCATAGAAATTAAAAGAATTCGAGGGGGCTACAAGATGATATAATTCATTTCTCTGCAAGTGGATACGTACAGGGCAAATGAAGATCGACTTTGTTCCTTCAAACGGAATCTAATAAACAAATATAATAAATATAATTTTGATTATCTTCATCGGTTCAGATCATCGTGCCAACACAAAAAAATATTAGTTTACGAAATACTCGAACGCAAACATTGCAAAGTGATAGTCGTGCAGATATTGGCTGCTCTAAAAGGTGACTTCGACGAGTATTTTCTTCTGCAACCTTGCAATATTTGTACTCAAATAGCACTTAAATATTTCGTCACACCCGGTCCAACAGGTTAACAGTCTTTGTTTCTGTATTCTAAAAAGAAAAGCCCCACGGGGATCGGAATCCTGGACCGCAGGATATTCCACAGCCCGACGTGCCATTCACTCAGCTCCAAGTACCCAATAGCCTTGTATCTCTGCTTCTGCAAGGCCGCAGGAAACGGAAGGAACAACTAGGGGTCATCGTTCAGATAAACTCGTTAGCGGCCGGGTATCGTCGAGGGAAAACAGCGAGCGGTCCGGCGCGAGGTGCGAGGGAACAGCGTAGACAGAAGGCTGGTCGCTTAAAAAAAATTGCAGTGCTCCGAGAAAGTTCGTGGCCCCGGGTTAAATTGATAACGGGGCAGGGACCCCTGCGGCGCACGCGAGAAAGAGAGTGCGGCTGAGTGGAATTCGCCGGCTAATTAAGAGATACGCGTCTGGTAGGCGACCATTAGGAGACGGCACAGTGTGGAGAGCACCCTGACAACGGTCTTGTCCCGTAAACGGGGCTAAACGGTCGGTTTTTCGACGCGCCACACGTCGCGTCCAGGGTATCCGGGTGTCTCGTTAGCATAGGGAGCACCTTCGGGGTCGTACCGAGTCGTTGCAGTCGGCGTAGAACCGTCGTGGAACGATCCACGGTAGTCGGCATGCTAATACAGGGGACTTAATTACGGTCTCATAATGAATCAGTCACGCCAACGGTTCGTCTGCGTCTCTCCTATCGGTGGCCCCGGCACACACGATTGTATTCCCTTGATTAATTGTTCTGTCCTCTCCGCGGAGCCCCGACAGCGTCCTTCTCGGCGAGGATCCGTCGCGTGTATCCTCCACCAACGGAATAGACGATCCGCCGATACCGCGGCCCAGGCTATTCGTCATTCGACGAGATATTTCGGTGATCCATTTTGTTCCTGCCCTTCTTCGACCGCGACGGCAATTTCGACTCCGATTTCTGGCAAGTTAGCTATCTTCCCGAGCGCTTGGCTTCTAACAGCTGATTTAATCTCCGTGATTGGATACACGCGGTTTTAATTCGTCCGTTTCGCTCGCGTCGCGAAGGTGCGCCCTACAAATGTGCTCGTCAAATGTGCTCCTGCGTCTTAAAGTGTGATCTACACATGCCGAAACGTTAAGCAAACAAGGAAATAAATTATGGTTATTATAAATTAACCTTAACTTCAAATCGTGTTAAATTGTGATTTGCGTCACTGTGATTCTAACCCACTGATATGTTAATCCAATCCTTCTATCGTCCTTTCTTCAAGGATTTCGTACATGTTCTTAGAATCTGATTCTTTTAAATGAATGCAAGCGATGAACTGCGAACGTTCGTGCAATCTTATTCATTAACACTTTGACCATATACAAGGTGTCCCAAAATTATCGTATTTCCGAGAAATGGAAGGTTCATATGAGGTCATTTGAAGTAACTTTTTCCTTAGCGAAAATGCAAACCGCAGCTTTGTTTACGAGTTATTAACGAAAAACAGTGACCAATAAGAGGCGGGCGCGCGAGCTGCGAGAGAGAGAGAGCTGCACGTGGCTTTGGCAGAAAAGTGCGACGGATTCGAGCCGTGTTCGGAGTAATGAACAAGTCACGGAGCGTGAACTTCTCGAATTTTTTTTTATTACGTGTATACCTTATTATAATAAATATAATATAACCCTTATTATTATAATAAATATAATACCCTTATAATATACCCTTACTTTAGAATGTTTCAAGAATATTTACTAATTTTTTGGAGCCGAAATATGTAGTAAGTAGTTCAACCGTGACAGCCGTTTTCATTATTAATTGAGCCGATCACAGTGAAGATTAACAACAAGAAATCTCGTTAAACTCACGCGAAAGATATTTCTGTTTCAATAATTTTGTATCCTAATAGAATTCAACGAACGATTCGTAAAGCTAATTTAATAATAAATAGCGTTAAAGAACATGAATAAATATAAATAATAGTATTAATAATTGCTTAGATTCAGGAATTAATTCTAGCACTAATCTGTTACATTCTCCTAATTGGATCAGAAAAGCGCAAGAACGTCAAAAAGTAATCGACATCACACAATTTAATTTGTTCAATTTTAATTCCATTAATTAAGCTACCTTCAATTTTATGACATTTTTGTGCTTCGAATAAATTTTATTGCTTCGAAGAAAATGCTCGAGTTAGAGCCGAATTAAAAATCCTGTTCTCATGAAACGGGTCATAATCGACCGGCAACCGGTCCCCCACGTGTTGAAGTGTCGTTTTGAAGATTAAACTCCTCTCGCCACGCCGACAGCCGCGCCGTGCCGCGGCTCCTCGGCTGACACCAAGTTAGAACGTATTGTTACGAGTTTTCATCTGCTCCCGATGGAAAGTCGAAAGACATCGGCGAACTCCCATCGAACAAACACCCGGTCCGTCTCCGGGAATTTTAGTGAAAGCAAAGTTCGCGTGGGACACTGTCCCGACGCCGTCCAAGGGAATTCCGTGCGTCGAAGATGGAACAAGTTCGAGGGAATGAAGACGAAGATAGGAAACGAGAAAATAGAGGAACGGGGGAGGTGACAAAGACGGTATCGGGATACTATTTTACCCTAAGCGCGAACGCGCAATAGCGTAGGGGTAAGATAGGGGTCGGGAAAAGAGAAGAAAATGGCGCGTGGGTGGAGAAACATGTCTGTCCTCGATTTAATAAATGCAGACTTCTGTTCCTCGGCCGATCCTCCGATGGCAGGGACTGCGCGACTTCGATCCCCTCTAATTCACAGGCTGACTGGCGCAGATAAACTCTCAGTCTCAGATATTTTTATTTTCATAGAAACGTGCGTGTACAAACAATTTCATTCGGCGCAACTCTACGCGAGAAGTAATCACAAAATAAAGCTAAAATATTTCCGTTTTTATTGAATGTTTTTATAACGGTAATAGAACTGATTAAATAAAAATTGCAAAATATTCTCTTATCGTGAACAAAATTTGCAAGCTGAACTTAAATTTCCGTTTAACGTTATTCATTTTCTAAGAATTCATTGCAATTATAATGAGACAATTTTAGATAGAAAAAAAAGCCAAGAAAATGTTCGAATATCGTAATGATTTCTTTTTAACAGTTTGGAGAATTTCATATGGTTTTTAAGCATTTAAGTATGCGGCGGTTAAATAAATAATAAATTTGTAAACAGTACACACGTTAGTAAACGTAACTTTAAACTATTAAGGATTCGAAGACAATTGGTAAAGAAGGGAGAAAATCGATACGGAAATTTCGATAAAAAGATCGCGGGACGAAAATTGGGACCATCGCATGGAGGCCCAGATCGAAGATAGTCGTGGGTCGTGAATCATGCAGCGGTAACGCATCGGGCATTGTTCCGCGGGTCACCAGGAAGCGTCCGGGGCCTCGTAAAGCAGTCAGACCCGGTTCAGGAATTACTCGGGAGTTAATTGGAAGCGTGCGAGTACGATTTCGCGTGATAAATCTCGCGGCGGCCGCGTCTGCGAGCGGCGACAAGCTCCCGCCAGCTCGAAATAGTCCGCGGCCGAACCGGTGACGGCCGAAAACTCGAGAATTAGAACTGATGCCCCGGGGACACGCGCGCGGCAAAGTCCAGCGAACGTCGCCCCTAATGAAATTGTGCGGGACCGCGGACCGGACGAAAAAATCGCGTTCGTTTTACGGTACGCACTCGTCGGATAATAAATACCATGTAATGTTGCGCCGGGCCGCGCACGGCCGGTTCTCTCGGCTTAGAAAACCGCGAACGAGGCTTTATCGTGACGCGGCTCGCCGAGGCCGGGGGCCGCCAAATGAAATTTCGCCTAATCAGCCGCGTCTCCCGTATCTGTCGTATCTCGCGAACCGACCGCGGACCGGTGAATAATGAGAAACACGAAAAACCGCGCGTGATATTACGCCGCCGTAATTATTCCATTAATTAAGCGCCATTATAAATCAGTGCGGGTGCCGCGACGATAAGAGGATTGTACCCGGAAAAATTTGACGCTCCTAGCTGCCGGTGAAAAAATCGGGAACCCTACAAAAAGATTTTGTTAATTACATTCCG